CTTCAAGGGAGCCGAAAACACTTTGCAAGCATGACGCGTGCTGTCTTCACCTGCTGAGGCAAGTCCAGACTGGGCAGTGGCTGCTGTTCAACAACCCCCGTAGCAATTCAGAACCAACCTTCCCCCATAGCCACCAAAATAGCGTCTGCACGACAGCATCTCGGTCCCCTACTTGGCATCCTACCCTGTCTTCCAGGCTTCTCCCTTCCTCTTGCAAAAAAATTGTCATCTTTCAGTGAAAGAAAGGTTCCCGTGAGAAATTATGCTCAGCCAAGTTTCTCCGCCCAGCTGCTTACTGGGCCAAAGTCTATTCTCCGACTCACAACCACCATTATCCTTCAGCTCTGCAGGGGCCTCTCAGAGAAGTTCAAGGCTGGCTTCCTTCCCAGGGCGCACTGACAGGGGGATTAACAATTATGGACATTTAGCCATGTTCTACTGTGAATAAAAACAAAACACGAAAGAAATTCCGAAGCCTAAGGTGTTTCTAGTGCATGCTGGTATAAGTATCACTTAGCTGTTAAAGAAGGGGAACTGGAATAGGGAAGTATTTAATATTACTAGAGCTGCATTCATCGCTTCTGTTTTAAATATCAGATTACTGGCAGGATTCAAGCAATACGACATAAAACATTAAGGTTCTTTGGCATCAGTATCCACGCTGGCATAAGGATCTGCAAAATTTTCATCTGTCCTCCTCTCTCTCTCATATTTAAAAAACAACCTATTCTCTTTATAAACTGTGATGCCAGTTTCAAAATTAGCCAGCATCAAAACATATTAGAAATGCTTCTGTGCTGGCTTGCCGCATAGATTGAAGAGTGATAATGTAGAAGAGATTATTAATTGATTAAGACCACATTGCATGGACAAGCACTAGAAGCCCAGCCATGGAGTCCTCGGTTCAAAGGAGCAGGACAGACTTGACGTCCCCCATGTGTTCTCGGAGACCTGGAGATGCCTATAGCAACTCTATTAGCTTCTTAGTATCTGGAAATGCTTTTTCTTACTTACTTTTCACCTTACCCATTTGCAACAGGGAAGATGTTGCTAAACTGGCCCTGGACCCTAGAGATCCTCCATATTAAGCTTCCTTTTCACCCAGACTCTGGACACGATGCCTCCTTAAAAACTGCAAAGATAGAGCAGTCGCTTCTTTGGAATTTTTGTGCTAGTCTAGTTTATATCTTCCAGTGATCTTTTGTCTCTGTCTCATCACTGATGCAGAAACACTATAGAGATGCCAGACATATCTGTATCATTGTCACTCCAGTCTATTAGCTCAGCAGTCTCAAATATGCATTTTTCCACCATACCAGAAAGCAAGTTGCGCAGATGAGCAATAACAAGACATTTCCCTTAAACCAGGGGTCAGAAAGTCACAGTACAACGACAGCTGATACCCAGCTGATCACAAATCCAAGCACCCCTCCTCTATTTAATATCTCTGACTATTGATGGTGGGCTGGAGTGTGACACAGCAATATTGCATCCCTGAGAGCAAGATAGCAAAATAAAAGTGCCCACTATAAAGCAAGAAGATAGCACTGATTCACCAAGAAACAAAAGCTTTTGTTGGGCAGAAAAGCCAGGCAGAGAGAGGTAGAGGCAAACTGTACAGAGAAGGCAACAGAAGATGGAACAAATGCCAGTGCTCACCTGTTCCACATATGCATTCAAGTTCCTGGCATTGCAGAGGCAGGGCATGTACAGTATCCCACGGGGCTGCTTACAATGAGTACCCTTCTAAAGAAAACGCTTTAATACAAGGTCATAGCTAATTGCGATGAGGGGTTTTGTCCAAGTGAGCCAGACTAGTCCAGGAGGACAGATCTCCATGGAGAAAAGTGACTGAGACCTTCACCTCCCCTTTCTGGAGCACAGGTAGCAGCTGAGATTCCTGCTTCCAGATCCATGCGCTCTGCCATGGGCTCTCCCTCTGCCAACTCAGTGCTTGTGACAAGCAGAGACCTGACTATGCTTGTAAGGTTCTGGGAGCTGTTGCCCTTAATCCCACCCCAAACTCTGTAAGCTCGGCTGTCTTAAAATCAGCCAGAAGAGACAGGATTCATATATTAAACCTGCGATCTTTCAATTCTCCTTGTTAAAGTCTATTTTAAAAAGCAGCTTGGCACTTCAGATCACTTAAATTTAATCACACAAGGGGTCAAAGCAAGGCAAGTATGGCAGTAAAACTAAGAATGTCACATCTATTCTCCCAAGTTACCGGGTATGGTACATTCCCATGGTGATCTCTCACAGAACACACTGCTCTAATTTTACTACACGGTAAAGGAATTAAATTCAAACCTCGTCTCCCGCATTGTATCTCGCTATGACCCCAGCACAGAGACGGATACACGCACGGCGCAGGGAACACAAGCAAAGCTTGGGAATAAAATAGTAAAGGGCACACCCCTACCAAATTAATCTTCGGTCAATATAGCAATGTGCATGCCAGCAGTCATAGGAGGAAAGCGTTGGGAGGCACACGGCTCACAGGGCTTAAGGAGGCATCAGAAAGGCAGTCTGTGTGCACATGGCTAGTTTCAGCTGCATTATTCTTATATTAATGCTGTTAATATTGTGTTTGTAAAACTAATCGGGCTCTGAGTCCTTTCACATTATTGCTTAGCTCACAGAGAATCATACTCTGGCAACTGTGGAACAGACCCATCTACGGTGCCTCAACTTTCTCATCTGTGACACTAGAATGAGAAAACTGGACTTCTATGTAAAACCCCTCGAGAACCACCTATGAAAATAGCAGCTATCAAATGGTATGTGGAACAATTAAGTTATTGGGTTACTTTGTCCTCCAAACTCAGTGGTGATGTAGGTACCTCCCATCTGATATGAACTCAAACACTCCTTGTGCCAATACCGTGGTGCCTTGAGGTGGACATTACTTATAGTTTAGATATGAAAAACACAAGCAGATAGAAATAAATGACTTTCTCCAAGATCTGTGGGAGAAGGAGGAAGAGAATTCAGCTCTTGGGCCCCAATACAATGCTCCAAGTTCAACAAGCCTCTCTCCTTTTTATTTCATGGCATTCACCTGTGTGTTGTTTCAGACTTTCTGTTGACTACTAACACATGGATAGATAAGGAAGATGAGATTCTTGAGCCTCAAAGCAAGAGACTGCACCCAGAGACCTGAATTTCCAAGAAAAGTCTGAGGACTTCCACTTTTGGGCACTGATCCTAGCAAATGTAATACTTCCCCACCCCTGCAAGAGGTGGGAGTACTTCTCCATGTGACAGTTTCATTTTGTCCCAACTTTTCAGGCTGCAAAATTTGGAATAGCTCAAGGCAGTATTTGGGACAGTATTGAACTTCTCTCCTCTCCAAACAGGAGGGGTTCCAGTCTCTCTTGGTTAACATCTAATGAGAGTGTCAAGCTCTTGGACATCTTCTAAGCAAACAGTCTCCCTAAATTAAATATAAAATCAGCCACCAAATATTTTGCCTTTCACAAAAGAACATTTTGATGAAATTACTTCAGTCCCAGTAAACTATAAGGCCATTGCTCATTTTGGTCCTAAATTCCTTGCCAGACAAATGTGTGGCTTCTTTCCTCAATCAAATGCTGGACCGTGCATCACACCAGAGAATAGCAAAGTACAGCCCTCCTGCAGATTTCTCAGAGCATGATGAATTAATTGGGATATTGAATCAGTGAGGTTACATCTAATTAGCTTGACTTGACCCAGATGCTTTAAGCAACATTTTTCTAATATATTGGAGCTCATTATCCAACAAGTTTACCATGGCATCATGTAAAAAAAAAAAAAAAAATCTGTCTCAGAGTAGCTTTTCCAGGAGTGCCTCCTTGACCCTTTGGGAGGCATTTTCATCCTTTATGTGCACAGATGTGAACACCTGAGGGGGAGAAAGAACTGTCTTGTGTTTATAGCACAGGCCTCAGATTCAGTAGATACTCTGGCAACTAAAAACCTCAGGATCTCCACTGCTTGTTGATCAAAAATGTATGGGATACTGATTACTTCTTTTTATCCTGCCAATTTCAAATGCAACTTGTTCAGGCCATAACCCAAGTTTAAAAGTGCCCATTGCACACTGGGACCCCAACACTAGCAGGGGCAGCTGCAGAGCTACCATTACCCAGATACCACACTTCAGTTCAGCAGTGTACTTTGATTTGCACACACCTCCTTTTCCGGACACATTTCAACTGCAGAAAGAAGTAACGCCTGCTCTGTTCACTTTTAGGAAGAAGAAACAGAGAAAGCTATTGTAAAGGAGCATAAGGAAACATCAGTAAAGATAAAATAGTTTTCCAATATCAAGGGATAACTGGTCAGATGGGGTAGTAGCACCTAGAGCTGGAACAGTAGACCTGAACATACTCTTTCAGAGTTCAACAACTCTGAGTCACCAGTAAGAAAAACATTCAGTCGCTTAAATTTCAGCTGCATCATGTTAAACCCTTCTCTTTAAAAGAAGTGGCTCTTAAAAGATTAAGCATATCCCAGAAGGACGATTAATGGGCAAGGAACAAATTGAAAGAACAGTGAAGATATTTCTCACAAAAGAGCAGCAAGTACAGAGCACTGAACAACGATGCCAATTCTGTCAAATAAGAAGTCACAACTACAGCTGAACTGACTCAGATCAGAAAAAGACCAATTCAGATCACCGAGGCTCCTAGCAATGTTTTTGACAAAAATGAACCCCCTCCCCCAACTCAACAAAACAGTTTCCATTTTCCCGAGAAAATTAGGAATTCTGTTCTAGGGGGAAACATGAAAGCAAAGAAAAGGGTTTTGGAACTAGTATTTCCAAACATCACAATAATCCCCATCCGGACGTGCTGTTTTACTGACAATCTCAGCAACTCATTCCAGAACACTACTTCAAAACAAAACACTGACAAGGAAAACATCAAATTCTCTGCATTTGTTTTTCTTCTGTGACTGCTTTCAGTATTTCAGATGCTCTTGTCAAAATGTCAAATATTGAAGTATTAGAATACCTTGCAGATGAACTCCTGTTTCCAAAGGAGCTCTGGAGATGATGGCAGTGTGCAGCTCGGATGGATCAGCAGCACCAGCTTGGGGTGCTGCACTGCTGGGCAACTACACCCAACGGGTGATGGAGAAGGGAGGGAGATTCCTTCAAACGCATCTAGAAAAAGATGAGAAAAATAGCTCCACCTCCATGTGTTAGAGGAGACACAGCCGAGACCCCCAAACTCCTTGGTGCAGCTCCAGCCACCGTTTGGTTTCTCGATCGCTAGGATACACGGCACTTCTCTGATTCACTAGCACACAAGCTGCTGATTCAAACTGTTCACCCCAAGAGAAGAGTACCCACCCACCCAGCCCCCTTGTGCTGCAGGACATCAAGGGGCATTGGGCAGCGTTGGGAGGGACAACGGGTGATCTCCAAGCCCAACTCGGGCAGGGCTAGTTACATTCAGCCATGACGCATCTTGTGTCTTGGATGTCCATGGAGAACATTCTCCGAGATGGCCACTGAGGACCATACCTGGGATTAGCAACCCCCTCCGTGGAGATGTGCCCATTGAGTGTTATCCACCCTGCTGTCTGCTGTCACAGGCTCAGAAATCTTATCCTTGCAGAGCAGTGAGGGCCAGGGGGGCCGCAGAGAGGGAGGCCCGCTGCAGCCAGCGCCGGGCCACCAAGCACCCAGGGTGCCCCAAAAAAAGACCAATTCAGATCACCGAGGCTCCTAGCAATGTTTTTGACAAAAATGAACCCCCTCCCCCAACTCAACAAAACAGTTTCCATTTTCCCGAGAAAATTAGGAATTCTGTTCTAGGGGGAAACATGAAAGCAAAGAAAAGGGTTTTGGAACTAGTATTTCCAAACATCACAATAATCCCCATCCGGACGTGCTGTTTTACTGACAATCTCAGCAACTCATTCCAGAACACTACTTCAAAACAAAACACTGACAAGGAAAACATCAAATTCTCTGCATTTGTTTTTCTTCTGTGACTGCTTTCAGTATTTCAGATGCTCTTGTCAAAATGTCAAATATTGAAGTATTAGAATACCTTGCAGATGAACTCCTGTTTCCAAAGGAGCTCTGGAGATGATGGCAGTGTGCAGCTCGGATGGATCAGCAGCACCAGCTTGGGGTGCTGCACTGCTGGGCAACTACACCCAACGGGTGATGGAGAAGGGAGGGAGATTCCTTCAAACGCATCTAGAAAAAGATGAGAAAAATAGCTCCACCTCCATGTGTTAGAGGAGACACAGCCGAGACCCCCAAACTCCTTGGTGCAGCTCCAGCCACCGTTTGGTTTCTCGATCGCTAGGATACACGGCACTTCTCTGATTCACTAGCACACAAGCTGCTGATTCAAACTGTTCACCCCAAGAGAAGAGTACCCACCCACCCAGCCCCCTTGTGCTGCAGGACATCAAGGGGCATTGGGCAGCGTTGGGAGGGACAACGGGTGATCTCCAAGCCCAACTCGGGCAGGGCTAGTTACATTCAGCCATGACGCATCTTGTGTCTTGGATGTCCATGGAGAACATTCTCCGAGATGGCCACTGAGGACCATACCTGGGATTAGCAACCCCCTCCGTGGAGATGTGCCCATTGAGTGTTATCCACCCTGCTGTCTGCTGTCACAGGCTCAGAAATCTTATCCTTGCAGAGCAGTGAGGGCCAGGGGGGCCGCAGAGAGGGAGGCCCGCTGCAGCCAGCGCCGGGCCACCAAGCACCCAGGGTGCCCCAAGGTGCCGAGTGCCAAGCCCAGAGCCAGGACCAGTCCCAGCCCACTCCCAGGCACAGCTAAATACTAACTGGGAACGGTGTCGCTCTACAGGGGCATGGGGACACCGCCACGGCCTCCCTGCGGGGCCGTTTTCTCTCTCCAAGCCCACCCAGCCCCCAAGAGTAGCAACATGGCCTCCCTGCAGTGCTTGGGTGCCGCAGGCCCCTATTCACGCTTCCTCTCACCACCAGCCAACTGAAAGCCCCTCGCTCTACCACGGGACCCCATCGGGGCAGCCTCCCTCCTCGCACCTACCACACAGGACCTGATGGAGATCTCCCCTCTCCATGTTGCAACACATACATGAAAAAAAAAAAGGGCAGGAAAATGCCTACAGACCAAGCTGGAGCTGGATGGTGAGAGTCAAGATGGCCTCACATGAGCAGCGCCATAGATCTAAACAAATGCACTCACTGAATAAGTGCTCACTGCTGTGAAGAAGCATTGCATAACCCAGCCATGAACCCATCCTGCCTCCCTTTGATAGAAAAAGAAATCCAGGGTTTCATTTTCTTTTTTTTTCTTTTTTTTTTTTTTAAATCTTTCCCTGACATTCTCTTCTTATAACTGCCAAGCCTAATGAATGCAATTAAAGCTAAAAGTCTCTCTTAATTTCTTTCCCTTCTTTTGAACAGGTGCCATTATATTTTTTTAAAAAGCCCTGAAAGGCAGCAGTGACTGAAGTCAAAACTTCAACAAATATGATTTGATATGGGGGAACAAAAACCCATCCTGCTCCACCAGGATTCCCAAATGCACAGCCTTAGAGATCAGGAAAACAGAGGGTCTTTGTGCAAATGGCTACAAAATAAAAATTAAACGTTGTGTGGGGCCAAGAAGAAAGCAAATTAACAAGGGGATATTTCTTTCTGCAGGTACCAGTTTCAGCTGGCTGTGCTACTTCCCACAAGCCACTAATGCAGTCTAATTGGGAGGGGAAGCATGTAGCTGAGCAGTTGCTTAGCAAACTTTATCTTTTTTTTTCACGAGGTCCCAATTTTCCTTGCTGCATTGAGTTCACTGCATCCTGCTTCATTCTTCTCTGCTGTATTTTCCTTCCTCCCTTCCTCACCTCCACTCATATTTTATTACGACTTACAGGTCTGCCTACCAAAAAGGCCTTCAAAAGCACATTGTGACTGGGCAGTAAAAAGTCAATTGCCCTGCCCCAGGTAAAGCAGCAAGGCAGTATATTGTGGCATCCCAGCACAGCTGCTCCGCCACACACAGGGATCTATCTATGGGGTTTTATTTCTCTGCCCATTACCTGGGACACTGCCAGAGGATGGCAGCAGTAAGTGCTGAGTGCTTCTCAAATATAGTGCTACTAGGCGGCCTCCTAGGCCAGTTACGCTTCATCAACTGCAAATGAAGGCTGCACCCATCAGTCTAAGCCATCCCTTTTTCTCTTTCCTCCATAATCCTTCTATGCTCCCAAGCGCATGCTGGTGATTGCAGAGCAGTCAGCTTTGCATACGTGGAGAGACACATCCTACGCATGCCTTTGTTTTATGGCAAGAGCAGATGATCTAAAGATGGTGGAGGGAAGAATCAAGCAAAAGCTTAAGCCATAAAATACTTGAATATTCATCTGACTAGACTATATCTGCATCAATGCATACACCAAGCATAGGCGCAGATACATGACGGTAGGAGGGTGCTGTGGGTGGCAAGGCAGTCAGGGAGCTCATATATTCATGGAGATGGCACTCCAGCACACAGTCAATATAACACACAACATTTAACTGCTGGTATGATTTCTCTTGTTCCATTACATGCATCCCATGGGAACTGCCCAGGACAATCTGCCAGCTCCAGAGCAGACTCAGTCAAGGACTCTCTCCTTCTGTGGATGAAAAAAAACAGGCACCTTCACTTCAGCAATCCCATAAGGAGCTGCCAGGAAGCAGCAGACCAGGAGTCTCTCTGCAGAGCCCATGAAGAGCAGGACTAAAACGGCCTTGGCCACACAGCCTCCAGTGAGGATACAAGGAGCATGGTGGAGCCACCATGATTCACTGCTCCGGGGAAGGACAGCACAGCATGCCCATCCCACCCAGGCCTCTGACTGGTCTGAAGATACCCAGCAGAAGAAAGCTCCTGCTAGACCCAGTTTACTGTATTCTACTGATCTGAGTAAGCTCAAGGCAGTTGGCAGGCTGGAAAACTCTACTAAGTTTGGCTCATGCAGTAAAATGTCCTCATGAATTTGCTTCTAAGTTTTTAAAATGGGCTGCAGAGCAGAGAGCCAAAGATTCTTCTGATAGGCTTGCCTAAGCAAGGAGGAAAAAAAGGCACCCAAACCCAGTACTATTTCCCCTACTATACCCACCTAACCTGCCCATGGCTGCTGTCAGTCATCAAATATGCCCACTTGCTAGTCTCACCTTCAATAGAACGAACGCACAGTAGGAATGAGGAATCCGACCTGCGCAGGATCACAAGGGGATATGAGAAGTGGATGAAAGAGGGTATTGTCTTCTGAGGGTAGACAAGAACCATCCTGAGCACTGCTTACACAGCACCTTGCACCATGCAGTGCTCCCTAAAGAGGTTTCTGAATTGACAGCTTGAAGCGGGGTGAATGCTCATCTGAGCTGAGCTCAGGTCCTTCCCCAGGAGCTGCCTGACTGCATTGGTTTTTATTAAGCCCCACTCTGGAGCTATTTTGATTTTCCCAGGGAAAGCTTCACAGCAACACTGGGCATACTGCAGACCGAGGAGGACCAACAAGCACCTGCAGAGCCAATGGGACAGCAGGGTGACTCAAAGGCAGTCCCTCCTCCATTCACATCCTCAGACAGCTCCCTGATGAGAAATTCCACACAACTGCCGTCCTACTCCACACGGGTCATCTCCACCAGCATCCCTCTCCCTTCGAGCTGCTGGCCCTTTCCAACAGGCCACCCCTATCTGCTGAGCTGGAAGACCTGATTTGTAGAAAGGATGGCTTTGTTGAGAGCTGTATCCAGAGGGCCTTCATGCTAACGCAGTTCTCTGCAAAATTCATGCTACCACCACACGCATTGCTTGTGATGAAGCGTCCGATCCACAGCTCAGTACCCTGCCCATGTCCTGTTCCAACACAACCTGGCAGAAAGCTGATATTGATCATTTTCTAATTAAGTACTAAAATATCTCATGCTCCAGCCATAAGGTCAAAGGAAGACTATTCTTTGGAGTAAATCCTCACTGGCTAGGTGCCAGTTTTCATGTGTGCCTGTGGACAGTACCAGGGATTTATATACTTCATCTCCTGCCATTTTCCACCCTGGAGGAAGCTAGCTTCTAAATTGAATTATCATAAAGAAATCAATTCCAGATCAAACCTCTGTGAAATTATAATTGCTTTAATGATCTGCAGGCTG